AGCCAGGCACAGTGGCTCAGGCCTATAATCCCAGCAGTTTGGGAGGCCAAGGGGAGAGGATTGCCTGAGCCTAGGGATTTGAGACCAGCCTGGGCAACTTGTTGAGATCTCATCTCTACAATAAATCAAGAAAAATTAGCTGGGCATGGTGGTGCATATGCCTGTGGTTCCAGCTACTTGGAAGGCTGAAGCAGAAGAATCACCTGAGCCCAAGAGGTCGAGGCTGTGAGTGTGCCACTGCACTACAGCCTGGGTGACAGAGTGAGACTCCAACTAAAAAAAAAAAATAGCCGGGCTCGGTGGCTCAGCCTGTAATCCCATGCCTTTGGGAAGCTGAGGTGAGTGGATTGCCTGAGCCCACGGGTTCGAGACCCGCCTGGGCAGGCGAGACCTCATCTCTACAATAAATCAAAAAATTAGCCAGGCGCGGTAGCGTGCACCTGTAATTCCGGCTACTTGGAAGGCTAAGGCGGAAGGATCGCTGGAGCCCAGCAGGTCGAGGCTGCGATGGCCGGAAGCGGCCACTGCACTCCAGTCTGGGTGACAGAATGAGACTCCAACTCAAAAAAAAAAAAAAAAGGTCGGGTGCAGTGGCTCATGCCTATAAATCAAGAGAAAAAAAAAAAAGGAGAGAAACAGAGAAAATTAATTTTGGCTGGGTGCAGTGACTCAAGCCTGTCATCCCAGCATTTTGGGAGGCCGAGGCGAGATGACTGCCAGAGCCTGCGGGTTCAAGACCAGCCTGGGCAACATGGTGAGACCTCGTCTCTACAATAAATCAAAAATTAGCCGGGTATGGTAGCGTGGGCCTGTAGTTCCAGCTACTTGGAAGGCTGAGGCGGAAAGATCCCCTGAGCCCAGCAGGTCAAGGCTGCCGTGGCCGTGAGCAGCAAGCCACTGCACTCCGGCCTGGGTGACAGAGTGAGACTCTAATTCAAAAAAAAAAGAAAGAAAAAAACCAACAAGGAGTCAGGCGGGAAGGGAGGGGTCAAGGAGAGACCAGCCCCCAGCAAACAATGGGAGGAAGCCCCTAGGCTCTGCTTCCAAACAGGAGGGAGGTGCCAGGGGCTTCCCCACTTAGCAACAGTGGCCTCTGCAGGCTGGCTGGCCCTAGGTTAGCACGCGGGCATATGTCTTCCAGGGTCCCTGCCCTGCCTGGTTAAGATGCTGGCACGCTCAGTCCAGCTGCAGCCAGTGTTCCGAGAAACCAGCGATCAGACCAGAAGTGGCGGCGGGGAGCACTTAGGGTGGGGAGGACAGGCTGAAGCCAGGAAGAGCTCTTTGTTGTAAAGCCAAGTTCCACTGGGGACGGCTTGTGATAGTAGACCATGCACACAAGAGACCACGGCATGGGGGTACACTCACCTCTCAAAGGTGATGCGCATGGCTACCAGGACCAGCGCCAGGGGCAGGGACGCCAGCATGTCCCGGGGGTGGGCGTAGACCTGGCCATCTCGGTCCTCCAGCTGGGCCCACGAGCTGTTGGGTGGCAGCCAGAACCTGTCCTGCCAAAACCACTCGTTGAGGCTGGACACCATCCTGTGGAGACATGTTAAGGTAAGCAGGAGCCCCGTGGGCAGGACAGGTGAGGCAGCTGACAAGGACTCTCCCTCCACACCCTATCAGCGCCACGGACAACCCAGAGGCAGGGCTGGACGGTGGCTGTCTTCCTGCCTGGGACACTGGAGCTGCTCTCTGGTCTCAGCAGGGCGGGACTTTGGCCACCACCCCACTGTCATCCCTGATCCCCCCAAAGTCTGATAGAGTTTGCTATGGCCAATGTAGAAGGCAGATGTGAGCTGTGTGTCCTTAGGCAAATGTCCCAACCTCTCTGAACCTCAAGTTCACCAGTAACACAGGTTCAGTAACGCCCATATCTCTCAGCCTAGCCTGGGAAAGTGCTTGGCCTACGGACCCTTAACAAAAGTGATAATAAGGCCCGGCATGGTGGCTCATGCCTATATCCCAGCACTTTGGGAGGCTGAGGTGAGAGAGTTGCCTGAGCCCATGGATTCGTGACCAGCCTGGGCAACTTGGCCAGACCTCACCTCTACAATAAATTAAAAATTAGCCAGGTGTGGTAGCGTGCACCTGTAGTTCCGACTACTTGGAAGGCTGAGGCGGAAGGACTTGCCTGAGCCCAGCAGGTCAAGGCTGGGGTGGCCATGAGCATGCCACTGCCCTCCAGCTTGGGCGATGGAGTGAAATTCCAACTAAAAAAAAAAAGTGATAATGATACAGCCCACTAAAATGATAGTTATCATTCTACAATTTACAGATGCCAAAATGTGACCAAGAAGTCAAGGGCATGGCTGCTTGGGGTCATGAACATGAGTCCTCAGAGGCCCAGGAAGGTCTCCTTCCACTGTAGGAAGCTGGCTCTGCCCAAAGGTGAGAGACTTGAAGGAATCTGGGGTGCCCTCATTGGCCACCCTTTGGAAGTGGGAGTCCCTCCAGGTATGACCGTTGGTGGGCTCGCTGGCCATCCCCAAGGCCACACTGCAGGTGGGTGGGAGAACAGGCCATGTGACCGAGTGCTGGACAGTGGAGCAGTGACCAAGGCAGGCAACTGTTCTCTGGCAGCCTGGGGCAGCTCCAGCCTGAGAGGCTCAGCCTGCTTGAGGAGCCCCAATTGCTCCCTTTCCCCAGATCTTGAGTCAAGTGCCTGAACTACCACAAATGGTTCCCACTTGGAAAGGGGGTCTATTCATTTGTTCATCTGTCCATCCATCCATCATCCATCCATTCACCGTCACCCATCCACTCATCATTCATCTACTCGCCGTCATCCATCCATCCGCCATCATCCATCCGCCATCATCCTTTATCCATCCGCCATCATCCATCCATCCGCCCTCATCCATCCATCCGCCTTCATCCATCCATCCGCCATCATCCATCCATCCGCCTTCATCCGTCCATCCGCCATCATCATCCATCCATCCGCCATCATCCATCCATCCGCCATCATCCATCATCATCCATCATCCATCCGCCATCATCCTTTATCCATCCGCCATCATCCATCCATCCGCCATCATCCATCCATCCGCCATCATCCATCCATCCGCCATCATCCATCCATCCGCCATCCATCATCCATCCGCCATCATCCATCATCATCCATCATCCATCCGCCATCATCCTTTATCCATCCGCCTTCATCCATCCATCCGCCCTCATCCATCCATCCGCCCTCATCCATCCATCCGCCTTCATCCATCCATCCGCCTTCATCCGTCCATCCGCCATCATCATCCATCCATCCGCCATCATCCATCATCATCCATCATCCATCATCATCCATCATCCATCTGCCATCATCCTTTATCCATCCGCCATCATCCATCCATCCATCCGTCATCCTTCTGCCCCTTTATCATCCATCTATCTGTCCACCCCCAAAACATCTGTCCATCCACCCATAATCCATACATCCATCTACCCATCTGTCTGTCCTTCCAACCATCTGGTTTTCCATTCATCCATCAATTTTTCCATCCACCTGTCCTTCCATCCAGGCCAGAGATGTTCTCCAGTTGGCTTGTATATGTCAGGTTGGGGCTGGGCCTTGAGGGCATAGCAGGGGAACAAAGCCGACACATTCCTGTCCCTGCGAGCTCACAGCAAGCACAGCAGGGAGCCAAGAGACAAATAAACAGAGGGACACATAAATGAGATACCAGAGTGTAAAGGGGCCCAGTAGAAAACCCATAGGATGGTGTGACTATATATATATATTTTTTTGAGTTGGAGTGTCACTCTGTCGCCCAGACTCGAGTGTAGTGGCACGCTCATGGCCACCCCAGCGTCGACCTGCTGGGCTCCAGTGATCCTTCCACCTCAGCCTTCCAAGTAGCCAGAACTATAGGCACGCACTACCAGTCTCGCCAAGTTGCCCGGGATGGTCTCAAACCCGCAACCTCAGACAATCCACTTGCCCTGGCGTCCCGAAGTGCTGGGATTACAGGAAGAAGCCACCACACCCAGCCAAAAAACCTTTTAGGCTTAGCAGGATGGAAATCATGGGTGACTCTGGAGAGAGTTATCTAGACAGAGTGCTTAATGGATTGAAAAGTTAATGTGGCTTAAGTACAGAGAGCAAAAATAAATGAAATGCATCCAGAAAAATCAGATGGACGGATGGGTGAATGGAGGTAGGGACTGATAGGTCCAGGAGAGATGCGGGCAATACAGACAGAGCATGAAGGGGTAGATCTGGTGGTAGGAACACAGGCATCCACTGTCAGATCCTTTCACCTTTTCTGTAGATTTGAAATGTTCATCGTAACATGTTGGGACAGGCTGAGTGCAGTGGCTGATGCCTATAATCCCAGCACATTGGGAGGTGGAGGCGGGCCTTGTCTCTACAACAAACAAATAAATAAATAATTAGCTAGGCGTGGTGGCACACGCCTGTGGTCACAACTACTTGGAAGGCTGAGACGTAAGAATCAAATGAGGCCAGCAGGTCGAGCCTGTAGTGGCCGTGAATGTGCCACTGCACTCCAGCCTGGGCGACAGAGTGAGGCTCCCGCTCAAAAAAAAAAAAAGAGCTTCAGCCTTCCACGAAGCTGGAACCACAGGCACACACCATCACGATCGACTAATTTTTTGGTTTATTGTAGAGATGAGGTCTCACCAAGTTGCCCAGGCTGGTCTCAAACCCCTGGGCTCAGGCAATCCTCTCGTGTCCATCTCCCAAAGTGCTGGGATGACAGAGGAGAGCCAACATGCCCAGCCTATTTTATTTTATTTTTTTGTAGAGACAAGGTTCTTGCTATGTTGTCCAGGCTGTTCTTGAACTCTTGGGCTCAAGCAATCCTCTTGCCTGGGCCTCCCAGATTGCTGGGATCACAGGTGTGAGTCACCATGCTCAGTAGAACTTTAATAAAAGCAACTTGGCTAGGTGCAGTGGCTCACACCTATAATCCCAGCATTTTGGGAGGCCAAGGTGAGGGGATTGCCAGGCCATGTTTCCTAGCTTTGGCCCCCTCCCCTATCTTGGGGAGGCAAATTTCCTCTCTCTCTGTCTCTCTCTAATTTACTTTCTAAATAAACTATATTTTCTAGTCTAAAAAATAATTTCACTCATACACAAAAGGAAAGACAGGACCATGAACGCTTATGTTCCTATACCCCAACTCCAATGATCCTGGATGCATTTCTTTTTTTTTGAGTAGGAGTCTCACTCTGTCGCCCGGACTGGAGTGCAGTGGCCGCTTCCGGCCACTGCAGCCTCAACCTGCTGGACTCCGGCGATCCTTCTGCCTCAGCCTTCCAAGTGGCCGGAATTACAGGCGTGCGCTACCACGCCTGGCTGATTTTTTGATTTATTGTAGAGATGAGGTCTCGATGCATTTCAAAGAGGGCAACACACTGCAAGTTCCATCACCCCTAAACATTTCAGCACACAGATCATGAACTAGGCTTCAGCATTTGCCAATGCTTTTGTTTTTTTCAAGGTGAAATGTACCCGAATGAAAGACATATGTGTTAAGAGCACAGTCTGAGTTTAGACAAAACCCACGTACCTGGCTAACCTAATCTCGACCACAAACATGCCTTCCAGAAAGTTCCCTCATGCCCCTTCTCTGTCCGTCTCCACCCCCGACATTCAAAGGTAACTTCTGTTCCAATACACGTATTTTTTTAGAGACAGGGTCTGGCTCGGTCGCCGAGGCTGGAGTGCAGTGGCACAATCATAGCTGACTGCAGCCTCAACCTCCTGGGCTCAGGCGATCCTCCCCAATCAGCCTCCTGAGTAGCTGGGACTAGAGGCACACACCACACACCGCTCATTTTAAACTTTTTTGTAGAGAGGAGGTCTCACCATGTTGCCCAGGCTGGTCTCCAACTCCTGGGCTCAAGCCATCCTCCTGCCTCGGCCTCCCAGCGCACTGGGATGACAGATGTGAGCCATTGCATCTGGCTCCAATTTATTGTTTGTCATCATAGATTAGTTTTGTCAGTTCTAGGACTTCATATAAATGGAATCACATGCCATGTCTTCGGGTCTGGCTCCTTTCACTCTGTGGAATGTTTTTGGGACTTATCCACGCTGTTGCCTCTGACAGGAGCCTTCTGCTTTCCTATTGCTACATTGTATGTGTTGTGTAGATGTAGCACAGGGCATATTCATCACTGCTTGATGGACATTTGGGAGGCTTCCAGGTTCGGGTAATTACTACCAAAGCTGCTATGAACAATCACATCTGCGTCTTGTGTGAACAGAAGCTTTCATTTCTCCAGGGTAACTCCCTAGGAGTGGGCTGCCGGGTCAGATGGTGGTTGCATGCTTAACTTCATAAGCAACCGCCAGGCCGGGCACAGCGGCTCACGCCTGTCATCCCAGCACTCTGGGAGGCCAAGGCAGGAGGACAGCTTGAGGTCAGGAGTTCGAGACCAGCGGGCTGACATAGTGAGGCCCTGCCTCTACAAAAAATAAACAAATAAGCAACTGCCAAGCTGCTTTCTAGGGTGGCTGTACAGTTTTACTCTTCCACCAGTGGTGTCTGGGGGGAGGGGTTCCGTTGCC